GGGGGGGGGGGGGGGGGGGGTGGGGGCGCTTGTGCGTAATGAAGAATCTAGTATTTCATTCTTTTTTGTGAACATGCTTAGTTTGAAAATTTCGTTTAGCATTACTAACTTATAGGTGGCTAAAAATCTGGCATAGCATAAAAAGAAAAATACAAACAATCGGGGGCCCTGTCACTTTGGTTGGGGGATGTTTAAAGACTCTTTAGAAGTAAAATAAAAAGAAAAGATGCGATTTATAATCTAGAATTAGTTAACTATAACTGCCTGGGCCTGGATTTAATTATTAAAGTTAAAGAATACACGTAAGTTTAAATGATAAAAAAAAAAATTAAAATACGAAATGCGCTAAGAAATAATATACGCACCTGAACTGCACTTTTACCGACTATACTATGCCATACCTATTCCTAGCAGTAGCAGTAGTAGGGCCTACAGTTACAGTAATATACTTGTGTAGCCTACTTCAAGGTCTACTTCCTTGTTTTCAAACTTCTTCCATTTTCATTTACACTTTTTTGACCCCAGTGATGATCGGGTTATATCATTTATAATAACTTACCAACACCCAGCTTTGCCCGACAGTCAGTTTTCTTCCAAATTGTCATTTTATATGTCAATATAACACAAAGAATTAAAGAGTATCCGTTTCATTTGTGACTAATAGATCGATCGATGTTTTGGAACTGAGAAACATAGAGCCGACATTGTTAGTCACGTGATAATTAGTTGATGTTTTTTTGTTTCTTTTTTTACTTCCTACACTGCGTGCGCATTCGTTGTTAAGGACAATAATATGGCCGTAAAAAAAATCCAAGATGATATTATTTTAAGTTGCAGGATTTAACATTACATTCAGCTAACTTCATTTATGAAAGCCACAAATATTTTTTTATTCATTTAAGTCAGTTTAAGAGGTATGTTTCTCAGTCTTCTACTTATCCTTCTTTTTTTTTAAAAATTATAATTATAAATATACAATTAATTTAATTCTTTATATTTATCTGAACTACTTAGTATGATTAACTATACTATAGTCTATAGTTATATTTATATTCTATACTATAACTAATACTACTGACTATATTATGGCTAGTGATAGGAGTTACTAGTAGTAGTAAGTAGTGTCTCTGCAGATAGCGTAACTGCACATTTTGTCTTGTACTTGTATTGTATACCTGATTTTGACCAAGTCGCCTATATATTCCTATATTTTATCAGTAAATTTTAAGGATGAATGCCACATTTTTATCGAATTTCACGAATGTATCCCCAAATCGATCCCTATGCCTAACCCTAACCCTAAATCTACACCTCAACCTAACCTAAACCCTAATTCACTGCAACTATAATAAACACACAAAAGACGCCGTGGCATCCCTCCTTAATATCAGCTATTTTATCTTAATCTTATTGCTCATTCATGACATTATTGAATTGACATAACTTAGAACTAGGGTTGACATTACTTAGTTTACTAGAAGCCATATAAACTCATAGGATAGTGTCATCCTTTTCAAACTTCCTAATGAATGGCCTTGACCCTGATTTTTCACCTATATTATATCTTAATCTTATTGCTCATTCATGACATTATTGAATTGACATAACTTAGAACTAGGGTTGACATTACTTAGTTTACTAGAAGCCATATAAACTCATAGGATAGTGTCATCCTTTTCAAACTTCCTAATGAATGGCCTTGGACCTCCTCCGAGTCAGCCTGGTCTGGTGACACCTTTCTCTGGTGGCACCTTACTCTGGTAAATCCCTGTGTTGTGACTTCCTTTTGTTATGGCACCCTGCTATGGTGGCACCATGCTCATGTTGTATTCAACTCAGAGCTCCATGAAATTCATTATTTTCCATTTAATGTCGTCCCCCTGTGCAGGTGTCATCCTATGTAAACTGCACACCCCTCCTATTTAAGCTAACGCTTATTTCTTTTAATTGTATAGTATAAAAAATGAAGCATTTCTCCAAGATTTGAAGTGAAATTCATTTTAAACTTTTTATATTTTTAAGTATATTCTCCTTAAATATAGAGTCATAACAGTTTTAGTTTTGATTTAATTTATAATTTTTTTCCTTTAAAAAAATAAGGGTAACTTTTAAACAAATATTTAAGGGTAATGGCCAACCAACCCTTGGTCTACTGACTTTAGCCTACCATAGGCCTATTGTCATTGTCATTGTAACTCTACTGACCAGGCTGCTAATTCTATCTATTCTAGCCACTCTAGGTATTATTATTACTTAACATTTTATAATTATAATGATAATAAACTAAAATAATTTATTTAACCTACAATAGATTTAAATAAGATAACCTAGTTGATAGCTATTCAATTGTTTATTAAAATTGATTCCCAGTTATTCTAATAGTGATTTTGCCTAAAACCAATAGAATAGCCTTGGCCCAGTTAAATAATTATTCACAGATGACAGTTAAAAATAAAACTGAGTGGACTGAGTGTGTGTTTAAATCTAAGAATTTAAATAATAATCATATTATTATTATATTAATAAATTATGTAAAGGACAATAGTCAACTAGAGCATTTTTAATATTAATTCCTTTTTAAAAATAAATATTTGTAAAAATATTCTAGCACATCAGCACATGTATTTTTTAGAAAAAACTTTTAAAGGTGAGTACTAATAAGATTATTAAAACAAAGTCTTTTAATTAAAATTTTAATATTAGGCCTAATTAATAACTAATTTTATAAAACTATTTATACCAAAAGTAAAATTTTCTAAAATTAAAAAGTGTATGTTTTATTTTCACAGCACACACAAACATGTCAAGAGCCCAGGCAGAGAGTGTGATAAAAAATATTATCAGAGAAATAGCTCAAGAATGTGCCGGCAAGGGCCAAGCTGTGTCAGAAACCTTGGTTGCATTTATGGCATGTTAAACCTATCAAAATGGGTAGTCTGTAAAAGAAATCACACATCTAGTGATAAGTGGAATATAAGTTCAGACATTTTTGCTAGAGGAGGCAGAAAGGAGTTTTGTGAAATTAACATCATTAAAATAATTATTATATTGCAGTTTTTAGAGAATTTTCTCCACATCTTCAGTTTTTTAAAAAGCATTTTTAAGTTTCAAGTAAATTTAATGTTCATTTACAATATTTAGTTATAGCCTATACATAGTTTTATCAGAATGGAGCATAACATTAAAGTAGTATTAAGAAAGAAAGTTATAATATGTTTTATGTATTTTAAGGGTTGCTTTTAGAGGAGACATGGGAGGGGGTGGGGCTTGTGATAAGGAGTGAGGGTAAAACATCAGCCAAAATTGTGTGACATCCTTTATGGACTGTGTCTTTTATTGTTAAGATAAATATATTTATTTAATCTTAGTATTTCATTTACATGCTCTATTACTTATATCTTGTACCACAGCTAACAATTTAGAAGGTACATTTTGACTTAATAAATGAAAATCTGATAAAGATACAATTAAATTGTTTCAAACCAAGCATTATAACAACTACAGGCTACAGGAGTAACTATTGCACATTTTATTTTTTTTTAACATCATGACCTTATTTAGAAAAATATTAAGACTATGTATACGAGAAATAAATGGGAGTATATCTTTAACTTTTTAAAAATATATTTTCAGGTAAAAGCTGTTGTCCTGGATCCTGCCAATGAGTTTAATGTTGATCGCACATTAACAAAAGATGATGTTCAAAAACTCATTCGGGTAAGTAAACAAGTAAACAATTTTATTTCTAGTAGGCTATTATCACTTTTTTTTTTTTTTTAAAGTTTTATTTTCAAAACCTTACTAATATAATATATTATATTAATCAATTATACAGTTTTAAAAAAACAATGAAATAAAATCTGTTTAGCATAATATGTATTTTTAAAAATTGCTCACGTCAACAAATTATTTCTTTTTATAGTTATGCGTTGAGAGGCTATTGGATTCAAGGTCCCCTGCTCTTGACACAGTTAAAATGCAAGTTTATTTTGATATGAATTATACAACAAGAGGTTAGTAAAATTTCAGTAAAAATTACTTTTTAAGTTAATAACTTAATAATTAGTGTTTTATTAATGCACACAAGGATTGAACTGATAAGAATATAGGAAGATGACAAAGTAATCAGCCTGCTGCATGAGCTGATTATTTATTATTGAATTATGTATGTGCCATGCTAGGAAAATGTATATTGTAATCAATTTATGAAAATATTCCAAATATAACTGTATTTTGCTTTATGCAACAAAAAAAATATTATTAATTTTAAAAGAATTTTTTTTTAATGAGTAATTTGATACCTGAAACCTATTTACCTATTTTAGCAAAAGCTTTACGTTTCTTTTATTTAAAAGCCACACGTGACAGAACTATTAATATATTTTCCCGTTCTTAAAAGTAAAATTAATAAATCTAATTGATTGCTTTTTAAATTATTAATTAAAGACAAAACATTTTAGCTTTGTATTTTTAACATTGAACAAGTTTTTACTTTTTATCCATTCCAAAAATATAATTTTATGAAATTTACACAGTTATAAAAACTTAACCTTTAAATGTACTTTTAATTAGAAAATGCCGTTTAATTCAATCAGTGCAGAAACTCTATAACCAAACAGAATTCACTAATGCACTTATCACTCATCCAAAAAATAACAAACCATATGAAGTGCAAAAAATGTGTTTTTGCATACAATCCAGTGGATGATTTTATTTATTTAAAAAAAAACTATTTTTTTAAGGGGGGGGGGGGCAGCAAAAGATACACCTACGAATGAATTTAATAAAAAATTAACCTTCTTAGGTACATATCTATCTGGGGTAAGAATTAGGGGGTGTACATTTTTAACTTATCACTCATCCAAAAAATAACAAACCATATGAAGTGCAAAAAATGTGTTTTTGCATACAATCCAGTGGATGATTTTATTTATTTAAAAAAAAACTATTTTTTTAAGGGGGGGGGGGCAGCACAAGATACACCTACGAATGAATTTAATAAAAAATTAACCTTCTTAGGTACATATCTATCTGGGGTAAGAATTAGGGTGTGTACATTTTTACGTGGATGACAATATCTTTAAATCCAATGATATTACAGTTGTAAAAAATAGATACTATATTCTCATTTTACAAATAAACATGTGTTTACCAACGAACAAAATCAATGGCATTTACAAAACATGGGTACATTTACATAAGTTTACCCATGAATATCAAAACCCAATCATTTTGAACAAGTGAAAATTTAAATTTTTGTAATAGAGATGGATTTTTCTTTCAAAAAATGAAAATATATTTTTGTTTTTACTTTGCAAAGAAAAGAATTCTTTGTTTTATGATTTTCTGATAATATAGTAGAAAATAAAGGAAAAAGTTTGGTTCAATTTTTAATAAAGATATCAGTATATCTAATTCTGTTATTATAAAATGTATTTAAAATGGTATATCGAGTTTTGTTGTAAATTTAAGATTAAGTTTTCACAATTTTTAGATTTTTTAGTTTAGGGGCACGAAGAGTGTTAATGTAGGCCCAACATTTAACAATTTAAAAACAAATGACATCTAAAATATTTATCTAGCATAGAAATCTGCCGTCAATGAACTCCTTTACTGAAAATAATGATTTAATTAGTGATCATTTAGATTTGGTAATTTAAGGTCATGTTTATAGAAAAAATAATTGCAGTTTAGGGGCGCGAAAACGGATAGTGTAGGTGTATAATATATAGCAGATAAATACTTCTCAAAACTTTTAATGATTTAAGAAACGTAAACATCATTACATGGATACTTTTTTTAAAATACGAAATTGTGATGAGTTTTTGCAATAGCAAGTTGAAATTATTGCAAAATGCCTGTCTCAATAACATCGGGGGATATTTTCTAGTTCAGAATAATTCTGCTAAAGATCTTTTGTGGTACTGACAGCAGTGTAATTACTCTGTAATTTTCACTATTGCTAAAATTACATTTCTTTGATATTTTGATGATGCATTCTTCTTCCCATTTCTTTTCAAACAGTGGTGTGTAATGTTAACTATTGTATCTATATCTGCTAGCATCATCTCTGTTGTGCTGTTTTCAGGTCCAGATGGTTCCCCAATTTAAGCTGGTTGATAGCCTTGGGTTAGTTCTACCTTATTAGGGACACTGTCTTCTATTTGTAAATCTTTATTTATTGGTAATATATCTGAATCTGGTGTGTCTTTCTGTGAAGGTATGTTTATTAATTCCTCAAAGTATTCCACCCATCTTTTTTGTTGTTTGTTTCATTCTGTTGTTGATCTACCTTTGTTGTCTTTAACCTGTCTCTCTGGCTTCTTGTTTCTTCCTTAGAGCTTTCTTGTTATATCATAAAGCTTCTTCTAGTCTCCCTTTCTTGCTGCTTCTTCTGCTGTGGACATTATTACCATCTATCTAATCTCTTTTATCCTTTCTCATATGCTTTTTTACCCTTCCATTGGCTTCTTTATATTTCTCCTGTACTTTGTTTTTTTTTCTCTGCCATAGCTATAGTATGGCTGTTTTTGACTGCAGACTTCATTTCTTTCCTTTCGTTTATTCTTTGCGTGTCTAATGAGAGCCAGTCTTTGTGCTTGTGCTTCACTAGTTCTTATACCTCATTGCTCATAGATGTCACTTGAAGTTCTATCTGGTCATCATCTGTTTGGTCTTGCAGTACCTGGAACTTATTTCTCAAAGTAATAATGAATCCCTGTCATTTTTTATTTAGTTTGCCAGAAGTACTATGTTTTATTTTAGTCATCTAGCAGCTGATTCTTCCCAGTTTTTCTTCAGTGTTAGCTTGAGTCTTGCCCAAACTAGATAGGGATCATATGCATCATCAACTCCTCTTTTAGCTTGTACATTTTGTAGAGACCTTCTGAATTTTTAGTTTATGCAAATGGGATCAATTTGGTTTTCTGTTCTGGTATCTGGAGACACCCCAAGTTACCTTATGGATTTACTTATGCTGGAATATGCTGCCTCCAACAATGAGCTCATTTGCAGCACATAAGTCTGCCAGTCTCTTTGCAGTTTTCATTTATCTCTCTCCTAAAACAGGGCACCCCTTAATTTCTTCATATCCTCTATTTTCTTTCCCCCTCTAGTATAGCTTGTATTTTTTGTATAAAACGAAGAGAAAAAAGAAGTTTCTCTTCCTTACCATTGTTGCTGGGTACAATAAATATTACATTCTTAATTATTGTGCGCAATAAATATTCTTCTTCTTCACCTCTTCATCCTTGAGGAACAGCAGCCGATATTCATCGACATCTGTGATCCTTCATAGGCCGCTTACAAGAATCCTCCAGGCATCATGATCCTGAGCCAATCTCTCCAGCTTCCCCCAAGTGTGGCCAAGTTTCTTGATATCTGCTTCCACTTCACGGCGCCAAGTGTTCCTCAGCCTGCCTATTTTCTGTTTTCCCCTGAGGGTTCCAGTTCAGGGCTTGTCTAGTTATGCTGGAGGCAGGTTTCCTGAGTGTATGGCTGATCCATCTCCATCTTCTCTGGAGGATCTCTTGTTCTACCGGTTTATGCTTTGTCTGCTGCCACAGTTTCCGATAGCTGATTCTGTCAGGCCAGTGAATCCCGAGAATCCTTCTTAGGCAGTTATTCATGAAGGACTGGATTCTCTTAATTTTCAAATTCTCTTGACCTTGAGGACCTTGCTCTTCCCTTTGTGTATATTGAGACCAATACATGCAGAAGTGGCTGCAATAGTTCTGGTTTTCTCCTGCTTCTGTTTTTGGGTATGGGAGAGAAGGGAAAGATCATCAGCAAAATCGAGGTTGTCAAGCTGCTCCCACAAGGTTCATTGTATACCATTCCGCTTCTGCTGTGTTGATGTTTTCATCACCCAGTCAATGGCAAATAGAAACAGAAAAGGCGAAAGCAAACATCCTTGCCTCAAACCGGTCTTCACCTGGAAAGCATCTGTCACCTGTTGTCCATGGACAACTCGGCAGGTCACCCCTCCATAGGAGTTCCTGATTAAGTCTGTGATTTTCTGCAGAACCCCATAATGTCTCAACAGCCTCCAGAGAGTTTGCCTATCCACACTGTAAAAGGCTTTCTCATAGTCAACAAAGTTTATGTAGAGAGGCAAGTTCCATTCCAGTGATTGCTTTGCAACTCCGCCGTAGTCAGTCCCAAGCCCGGGTGAGAAAGGAGGAGGGTTGAGCGAAGGGCTAGCAACCCTTCCCTGTAAAAATCCTCTGCTACAAAAACACGAACAAAGATTTCAAAAGGAAACTCAGACCTTGGAAAGGATGGGTCTCTTAATAGAGAATTAATGAAGCTGGATGGCCAAAACCAACTGGAAACCAACCGGAGGACAACCATTCTCTCCACTAGGACCACCACCAGTCTAGGAACATGGAACGTTAAGGACCATGTTCGAAACTAGAAAAACTGTCCAAGTTGCTGCTGAAATGCAGAGATACAAACTAGCCATCTTAGGAATAAGTGAGTCTCGATGGACAAGCTCAGGTCAGATAAAGCTCAACACAGGGGAACTGCTGCTATACTCAGGCCACGAAGATGAAAATGCAGCGCACAAACAAGGAGTGGCACTCATGCTTTCCAGAACTGCCCAGAACGTACTTATAGGATGGGAAGCGCATGGTTCCTGTATAATCACGGCAAGATTTAAGACCAAAAAACGAAAAATCAATATGGACATCCTACAGGTATACGCTCCTACCAACGATAGTAAAGAGGAGGACAAAGAGGATTTCTACAACAGACTGCGAACCCTGGTCCAAAGGTGTCCTAAGAGCAACATGGTTATACTCATGGGCGACCTAACTGCGAAAATAGGCAGCAACAATAAAGGCTATGAAGAATGCATGGGAACACATGGTATGGGAGAGATGAATGAAAATGGTGAAAGACTAGAAGATCTATGTGCTACAGATGGACTGGTCATTGGAGGAAGCCTCTTCATGCATAGAAATATCCACAAGGCGACATGGATTTCACCAGATATGTCAATGACTAACCAAATTGACCATTTCTGTATCTGCAATAAGTTTAGACGATTGCTCCAAGATGTTAGGGTAAAAAAGGGGCAGATGTAGCCTCAGATCACCATCTACTGATTGCCAAATTAAGGCTGAAACTGAAAAAAACTGGACAAGCGAGGGAAGCAAGCGCCAACATTTTAACATCAACCTCTTGAAAGATGAGTCCAAGATAAAGGAGTTTAAACTTACCATCTACAATAAGTTCCAGATCCTACAGGAACTAGGCAATGAAGAAACAATTGACAAAAACTGGTAAGTTTTCAAAGAGATATTCACGACTACCTGTGAAGAAGTGTTTGAATGGATTTCTGCTGAAACTATGGAAAAAATCCAATATAGGAGAAAGAAGAAGGCAAATCTAAACAATAGCCACACCAGAACCGAAAAGGCCAGAGCATCAACGGAATACTCAGAAGCAAATAAAGAAGTTAAACGTAGTTTAGAGACAGATAAAAAGAACTACATAGAAGGATTAGCAAGTGAAGCAGAGGAGGCTGTGTACCATAGAAACACAAGAGAATTATTCAGTACAATCAAAAAGTTATCTGGAAAGTTCAACAATCCAGTGAGACCAGTTAAAACTAATCAATACCTGATGAAGAGGTTCAGAAAAAAAGATGGATAGAACATTTTGAATAACTCCTCAAATGGCCAGCACCACAATACATACTCAATATAGAGCCAGCGGAAAAAGATCTAGAAATAGATTGCAGCACACCCACAAAGCAAGAAATGTGCAGAGCAATTAAACAACTAAAGAAAGGCAAGGCGGCAGGTCCAGACAGAAAACCGGCAGATGCCTTGACAGCAGATTTTACGACTAGCACTGAAATGCTACACACACTATTCAAGAAAATATGGGAGGAAGAACAGATACCAATAATTGAATAGAAAGAAGGACACCTCGTTAAGCTCCCGAAGAAAGGAGACCTTAGTTCTTGCTCTAACTATAGAGGAATAACCCTGCTGTCAATCCCAAGCAAAGTATTCAACAGAATGCTGCTAAACAGAATGAGGGAGGCAATAGACACCAATCTTAAGGACCAACAAGCAGGGTTCAGAAAAGACAGATCCTGCACATACCAGGTTGCCACACTGAGAATTAGTGTGGAACAATCTCTGGAGTGGAACTCGCCACTATACATCAACTTCATTGACTATGAGAAGGCTTTTGATAGTGTCGACAGACAGACTCTGTGGAAGCTGCTTAGACACTACAGGGTACTACAAAAATTGACAGACATAATTAAGGCTTCTTACGAAGGACTATCATGCAGAATTGTCCACGGCCAACAAACAACCGCGGCTTTTGGAGTACAGACCGGTGTCAGACAAGGGTGTCTGCTCTCGCCTTTCTTATTCCTGTTGACCATTGATTGGATAATGAAAATGTCTACAGAGCAGAAGAGAAATGATATCCAGTGGACACTATGGAAACAGCTGGATGACCTGGATTTTGTGGACGATTTTAGCACAGTACTCTGCTTGCATCGGCCTGAACATCCATAGAGGAAAAAGCAAAGTCCTTAAAATAAATACATCAAGCAACACACCTATAGCTCTGGAAGGAACAAACCTTGAGGAGGTGGATAGCTTTACATACCTCAGCAGCATCATTGACATACAAGGAGGGACAGACGCTGACATAAGAGTGAGAGTTGGTAAGGCAAGAGCGGCATTTAACCAGCTAAAAAAGGTCTGGAGCTGCAGAAATTTGACCTTCCAGACCAAGGTCATGGTATTCAACACCACAGTGAAACCTGTCTTTCTATATGGAGCAAAAACATGGCGAACAACAGCAGCTGGTTCAAAAAAGCTACAGACATTTTTCAACTCATGTCTCCGAACAATTTTACAAATCCGCTGGCCCAACGTCATCACCAACGAGGATCTCTGGCGGCGCACACAACAAGAACCAGTGGAAGAGTTAATCTGCCAGCACAGATGGACGTGGATTGGCCACACCCTCAGAAAGCCCGGATCAAGTATCACGAGACAAGCCCTCACTTGGAACCCCCAGGGCAAGAGAAAAAGAGGTCGACCCAAAACGACGTGGAGAAGGGAACTGTAGGCAGAGACCAAAAAAGAGTGGGCACAACTGGGGACAGTTGAAGAGACTTGCCCAAGACCGGGATGCCTGGAGAGCCTTTGTTTGTGGCCTATGCCCCAGATGGGACAACAGGTGATGATGATGATGATTGCTCTGCAATAAATATTACATTCATATTTATTTTCTTTTTCTTGGTTCTAAATGTTGCTGTATAAATTCTTGGACCATGGGCTTCTCATCCCATCAGTGCCGTCTGGGACATCATGAAAGCAACTCATTGTGTATGTGGAGCATTTTCCTCCTCATATCCTGAGTAAATTAATGTTTCTCCTAAGGCCAATTTTAGCTGTCTAGCTTGTGTTTATCTTGTTTTAAAAATGCTGAGCAGGGTAAAAATTTATCTTCTCATTTCTGGCACCTCTTGTGCTTCTTTTCCTTTCTCGTACATTGCTCTGACACCCCATGAGCCTTTCCTTATTGCCTTTAAAATGAGGATCCTTGGCTTTGAGGCTTCCAAAACAACTTTGCTTTGACCGCATGGCTTCATATCTCTTCTTTGGGATGAAGAACCCTCCCTTATTAGGACTGAAAATGTTTTTTTTTTTTTTTCTTTTTGATCACATTTCTGTATCAGTTTGTTTTTTTATGGGTGATGTAGCTAGTTTGTACACTAGCTTGGAACTAACCATGGTATTTTTTTAAAATTGCTTAACAGACTTAAATTTTTTTCATTTCAGCTGATTTCTTGGAGGAGCACAGAAGAGTTCTTGAATCTCGATTGCTACCTGTAATAAGGGAAATTACTGATAGCAGAGCACGTACTCGAGAGGAGCTTGAAAGCTTATACAGAAAAATTGTCTCAGCTGTCTTACTACGGTCAGGGCTAGGAAGTCCAACAGATATTGCTGTTGTGAGAGAAGCAACAGGTAAAATATTCTGTTTACAATATTCAACACAATGAGTTTTTATGGTTCTGTTCTTTTTTTCTTAATTCATTAAAAATATTGTATGAAAACAATAATTCCTAAGATAATAAAATAAACTGTCAATGATCTTTTTTGTTAATTAGCTGCTCTACAATCAGTATTTCCTCAAACTGAGTTGGGTACTTTTATGACTTTAACCAAACGAGAAAAGGAAAGACAGCTGACTGAACTAACCATGATTGTCACTGGAATTCGGCTTTTCAACAAAGAATGTGGTAAAGGAGGCGAGGGTATTGATGATTGTAAGTTAAAAATCTTCATAAAGTTGTTATGTCATCCATCCTCCCAAAATAATTTAAATAGTGGCTTACATAAAAAAAATTCATAATATTATCTTATAATTTTGAAATAATGTAAACATTGTTCATTTGTTATTTATTTCTTAAAAATCAATTTTAGCAGAAATTTTTTAGAGGTAAAAAGTAGTTGCAAAAACTGGATGAGTGAAATCTCAAAACGTAACATCAATTAAGCTTGAATTAGTTGGATCAGTTGATTTAATTTTTGTACCTACTAAATTACTATAAACATTACACACTGATCATAAAATTATTGTTTCAGGAACAGTACAATACCATGAGTATGGGTGCAACTTATACATAACTATTAGTGTCTAAATTTTAATTTGCAGAATGGGTATTAGAAAGCAAATCATACAATATTAGAAACCTAAAAGTTTATGATTAAAAAATTGCATGTTTGTCAATAGGTTTGGATTAAGGATATAATTTTTCTTTGAAAATGTATGTAAAATATTTAATCTTTTCAGTACCTGCAATTTTAAATGAGGCTGTCCCTGCAACCACTCAGAGTGTGGATGAAGAAATTCAAGGCACTTTGAATTGCACTTACAAATACACAGCATTGATTGAAGAAATGCACAGGAGAAACATAAAAGAAGGTCTGTCTCTTCAACTGTTGAAAGAGGCTCACATAAACACGAGGCAGCATGAGACTTTCCTGAGAATCATTTTGGTAAATAAAAACATTAAACGTGTTGACACTTCCATTTACATTCTGTTGGCAAGATTCATGGCTCAACGATGGAGTCATTTTCATGCTTGCATTGTCAATAAAACTTAGTTATAATATACTGACCTTTCATTACAATTCCATGTGATTAGCAACTTATGTTTTTTGCTGTAAATTATCTGTTACAGAATGATATAATAAGTTGTGCTCACCAAGTTGAACTTTTAGAGAACCAGCTGGGAACTAGAATGGAACAATTGCAGGCTACAGTACAGTCCAAGACAGCTGTACCTACAGCCCAAGTCTATGTAAGTGCCTAAAGTTCATTTCACACTATTACGCATCCAATAATGGATTTATAACATATAATAACTGAATAAGTAAAACATTTCATCACTTAAATTGCAATAAATTTTTTTCTACTTACATTTTTGTATATTTTTATTAGAAAAAAAGTTAATACAATTATAGTTATTTTATGATTATGTAAAATTGGTATCGATGGAAAACAAATCATCAGATTTTTATGGTTATGTTAATGTAAGTGTCATTATACAGCGGTTCTCAACCTGTGGGTCGCGACCCCTTTGAGGGTCGCACGACTCTTTCCCAGGGGTTGCCTAAGACCATCTGAAAACACATATACTCTACAGTTATGAAGTAGCAATGAAAATAATTTTCTGACTGGGGGTCGCCACAACATGACGAACTGTATAAAAGGGTCGCGGCAGTGGTAAGGCTGAGAACCACTGTATTAATAATTAAGAACTTTGTACTTTTTTTACTGGTATTGTACCATATGCAAATAAAATAATGTTTCACATTTTATGCCTGAGACAGTGAATGATACTTTAGGACTAGGGTGGTGATAAATGATTGTTGGACGGATTATTAATAAGTATACTGTCATTGTCTATCTAATGTTCAGTCATAATCCATTATAAAAGGGCCTAATAGAATGGTAAAGAATGCTAATGGATAGATATATATTTATATACTAATATTAAACTATTATTGCTATTCTAGTACTACTACTAGAGACTATAGGTAATTAAGAATATCAAACTCATACTAGTAGCCCTACTACTAGTGATACAGCATAGTATGTTTTTTTTTGTATGTGTGTTCAATATCTGTTTAGTGTTTTTTGGAAAGGCCTTAATGGTATATTACTAACCTAGGCTAAATAATTATTTAGGCCAAACTTAATATTAATAATTATTCTTATGACAGTAATGATATTTAGTACATATTTGTATTGTTATTATTTCTATTTGGCCTAATTTCATTATTCTTTTTTCCTAATTTATTATGACTCTATGCTGTCACATAGACATTAATATAGACTACTGTTTAAGCATAATGGCTATTTAGTAAATATATTCAGTGTGGTGTTATCATAGTTATCTTTAGTAAATTGCCGAAATTTACTCTGCTTATGCTATAACTACTATGAGTATGAGTAATATGATTATATACTTTGATACTATAATATAGGCCTCGTATTATTTAATATATGAATTGAATATGGTGCTATGGGCTCCATGGTCTTTGGTAAATATTTTGATCATAGAACAATTTATTTCAATTGCTGCCTTTGTACTAAATCAGCTGTAATGTCAGTGTAAAAAAAGTAATGCTGTGTTTGGTTATTGCATCCAACAACTTAGTATTTAATAAAACTTTGAACAAATTTCACTTTTGTCCACACAAAAAAGAAACCACACAAAATAGTGAGATCCAACAAAATTTTGACGAAAATTTGATTGTGTGAATTGAAATTAACTGGGATCATCATTTTTAATTCCTTTCCCTTGAATTTGTGAAAACCATTTATGGTTGATAAACTTTGAAATATATCTCATATTTTCAAAAATGCTGCCAATTTGTAAATAGGGGATCGGCCTCAATTATAACTGTTTATAAAAAATTTCAATGATAATTTTAACTTAAAGTTAAAGACATTTCTCTTTATTTTTTTTGTCCAAAACATCATGGAGATTTTTAATAAATGTTTTATTTTTATGACAAAAATTTGTTTGTCTTCTTAAGAAATAGAAACATAACTATCTATTTTTGCCCTAGCCCCAATTTATTCATTTAGCCCAGCTTTGGAGCAGCTTCCAAGATGAGATGGTTCTTCTCAGTGTCCTTAGTAATATCTTGGCCAGTCTAGAGCCCTTTACCAGAGTGAGTGTACTTTTCATTACATTACACTTAAAAACTCTTTCATTAAAGAAATTTTTTCAGTGAGGTATTGGTAATTTTCAAGTTTGACTTTAATTTAATGTTTATATCATGTGATAGTAAATATTCTAATAATGACGCCTTTTTTCCATGCAGGGCCATAAAGAGCAGCTTAGTGATGAATTAATTAGTCCTTACTTGGAAGGTCTTACCATCAAGACTGATGAACAGAGAACAAAAGAGGTGAATTTCAGCTCCTCAAATATTAAATTATATAGTTGTTGTAACCTTCAGAAACAATTGTAGCTTCTGACATTCCTGACACTTCATTGCAACCTTCCTTCTTCTCATTGTTTCCAGGTTATCTATATTATTGTCATACTCACCACCACTAGCTCAATCAAATTATCAAGCCAAGGCCTCCACACACATCACTTAATTAATTAAATAACTTAGAAATATAATATTTAAATAAATTTATAGTACAGCTTCAGACCACAAAATCAATTTGAGTAAATAAAAAATATGAATATGGTCCTCAAATTATATTAGTGTCAACAAACAATAGATTCATACCACCTCCTGCTTTGAAAATTCTAAGATAACTCCCAATTTTTCATGCTTGCAAAAATGGTTGATGATATAGTACCCTCTTTTATAATTCATTATCTGTATTCATGTGCCACTTGATTTCTGGTTGTGTTTTATAAGCTAAACAACCAATAAATGTCATGATGTTGCAGTTGTCTTTGTTTATTTTTTAACAACACATGTAATTTAATTTAAAGAAGGGTACATAATTTTGTTGTTTTTGAAACATTTTTTATTAAAATACTTTATTACTTCAAAAAAATTAGAAATAGCTACATCTGCAATATTTTTCATTCAACAGTGTTGAGTAAAAATTGTAGCAACTAAAATTAAATTGGATGATTGTTTCTTGTATATTATATTGTTATTCTGTAGTGTACCAGTATGTCTTTTGTAACGCAATTATTTACCATCACATATTTTATTCCTTAGACAACTGATCAGAGAGTCAACCCAAAAGATTACAAAGTGGAACAGTATGACTGGCTTTTTGCAGACACAACAAAGAATTTTTCAAGGTTGCAGCTTCAGTACAGGGTAGGTGATTGGCTTTTTAATGTAAATTATTATTTAATACAAAATAGTTAAAGCTGAACAACATATCATCACAATTATCATTTTCTCTCTAAAAGAAAATAATTTTTTGGGGGTCTGTATTAGAATTTAAATCCATATGCTTTTGTCAATCTACAGAATTACATAAGCATTTCAAATCCCAAACTTAATGAATGTATAAGCATTTCAAATCCAAAACTTTGTGAATGCATACATTAAAGTAGATACATTTATGATTATATGACTGCACTGTTTGTTACAGGGGTTTTGTGCTTACACATTAGGGAATTATGATCGGCTGCTTTTACCTGGCAACCCTGAGATTGGAGTCATGAGATTTAGAGAACATTATTATGCATTCTCATCTAAAGAGGCAGCATATGAATTTGCTGAGAATCCTCCAGAGTATGTCTTGATTTTTTTGTTTGGGACCATCCTTATAGTATGCAGGTTTTGAGGGGGGTTGTTGATTTTGGAGATTTTGTGTACGTGTGCATGTGGGTGGGTGTGATGAATTTTTATTCACAAATTCCGCAATATTTTTACTGCCATTCTGGCAGCCCATAAATGATAAATAGAATATTTATATCTATAAATATAATGCTGTAAAAATATTTTTCAATGTTATTTTTTTTTTGTAGGAAATTTTGTAATAAAAATAGATATCACTCTAGTAGCCCTACTCAGTAGTAAGCAGTAACAGTAATATTTAGTCCACCCTAAGGCTCACATGCCCATGACATATTTTGTTCAGCTACACTAGTGGTTCCTAGAATTTTTCAATGTCTGTCACCCTTGCCAAATTTTTTCATCATACCGGTACTGTACATTTATAAGCTGAAATTGACTGTGATGTTAAACTTTATGCTGGATTTATTCTGACAGAAGACCCTACTAATATTAATTGTGAGTGTATATTGGATTAAATTTTATTTAAATTAAATGTTAAATTTGTTTTTATAAAATTGTTTTTAGTTCAAAAGTGTGACGTACTTTAGTGGAGGGTCTGAGATTTTTGACAGATTATGACAAGGGGGAGGGGTGTTAAACATTAAAAATTATAAAAAATAGCTTGACCTACTTTATGGATGGCCATTTTGTACATCACTAAGCATTATTTAGTTACTTCAAAAAGTTCTTGGTATGCTACTCAAGTGAGTTACTATTGTCACATGTAATATATTGCGGCGCCCCTGTGAGAAAGTCAAGGAAAAGCTGCGCCTATGGCGAATCCTGAAAATGACATCCCTCAATATATTATATAAACAAGTACAGCTGGGGCACTCCGGTAAAGAGACGATTTTTGTCACTCCTTGTCTTATTGAAGTACATAAGATTTTATAATTTAATTTATTATTAAGTTATTAAAGATCCTATCTTAGACACACTATATTACTGTGACATCTTAATTGCCTATAAATACTTTTTTTGGTGGGTGTGGTTTGAAAGTTCAATGTACCGGTACATATAAATGAGGGTGTTCAAAAGAGTATGCACGCAACAGGGTGGAGGAAGGGGTGTACAATTTTTTTTTTTTTTTTTCCTACATACTAAAGGGATGGCCCCTTTAAATCAAATGATAACTTTTTACCAAATGAAGTTTCTGGAAAGTGTTTACAAGTCTTTAATTATGACTTCCAAAAAATCAAAGCTTAACTTTTAATAAATGTACCGGTACATATAAATGAGGGTGTTCAAAAGAGTATGCACGCAACAGGGTGGAGGAAGGGGTGTACAATTTTTTTTTTTTTTTCCTACATACTAAATGGATGGCCCCTTTAAATCAAATGATAACTTTTTACCAAATGAAGTGTCTGGAAAGTGTTTACAAGTCTTTAATTATGACTTCCAAAAAATCAAAGCTTACATTTTAATTTAGCCTAAATTACTCCTCTATCTTTAAGTAATGTTATATTTAAAAATATCAGATACATTGCTTTAGTGGCAGAAGCTGCAAAGAAGAGTCCAGAGTTAATTCAACTATTAGAACTTCATACACAGTTTTCTACTGTAACACCATATTCACAGGTATTTCTTCTTTAAGGGGATTTGTTAATTATAATTTTATATTGTTTAAACAAAAAGTCTCATTTTAAAATTTGTTTAATGCCAGAAAAGGTTCAATTTTTAACCGTATTTATGATTTATAAAAAGCTGTTTTGAGGGGATCAAGTAAGAATTCTTTATCTTATATTATATCAATAAGACTTATTTTTTATTATATATATGTTTAATTTTCATTATCTATATATGAATTTTTTTAAAATATTGAATTCTTTGAATAATAATACTATGGAATCATGCAGTGCCACATCCTGAAATGATGTTCCATGCAAATAATGAACCTCACAACAACGCATACTGTAATTGGATATAACATGGTTGGACTCCCAAATATTTGTGTATTCATTAGCAGATCAAATTAATTTTGTTTCTTAGTAGGAACCGGTACATAAAACAAGTATTAAAATTATTAAATGTCATTTTGGGGATGAAGTCATATTTGACTTTGAATATAATTCGATCGTATCATGGTTCCTAAAGTTTGAAATGAATTAACATCAAAGAAAAAAAGCTGCACACCTGCTAGACCAGCCAATGTTGCATGCAGCCCCTTGAATTTAAATGTCTACTTTATTAGCTGTAAAAATCCAAATGTTATTTGCATGAGAATTAAGGCTTTTCATGAGATGTGTACATTATTAGGAACCTTGGGTGCAATGTTAGGGACAGGGTTGATTGCATAAAAATAAAGTATAATTCTGCATTAACGCAACCCTGCTATTTACGTGAACCCATTAAACTGTTGTAGTAATATTTCACTGTGCTTTCAACTTGTTTTATCTTTAAATTTAAAGTTACAATTGTTCATATTTAATTTTTTGTTTAAGACACGGGATGCTGGCAAAATGATAGAAAAACCAATAACAAAGTGTGACAGTGGCTCCCAAACTGACACACACATTCTGGAGTCAAATATAGTTAAGACTTATGCATGGAATGAATGGGAACTCCGTAGAAAAGCAATAAAATTGGTAAAAGCTGCTTAAGTTAATGACTTACTTCACTTAGCTTTATGCTAAGCATATAATAAGTCTTTAATATTATAAATATATTATAACCGGGTATTTATTATGATAATTCATTTAAAAAAAATTAGATTAAATTTGATTAATTATTATTGCTGTTTAATTCCTATCTAACTTTTTTTCATTTATTAATTTACAGGCTAATTTAAGAACCAAAGTAACACATGCTATGCAGACTAATGGTAGCAACATGAGAAGAGACAATGAAACCCAGGTTTATTTGCCGAAGTAAGTAAATTGTGAATTTTAATATCAAATGCATTAAAAGTAAAGTTTGTTTCAATTTCTCTTAAACTAGCTTTTGCTAATCATTTGAAATAATGGAGAGCAAAGATTAAACTGTCAAGTTGAAAGGAGTGACATGATCTTTAATCTCTTTCATTTTCTAAAATTCTTACACTAATATATATTTCAAAAGCACACCGCCTATATATACTATGGTACACTATTTATAAAGTTGAACATTTTATTTAATAAGTTTCTTTTATTATTTTAACAGGGAACAAGATACCCAGACTAAGCAAGACAATTACAGTAATGTTTCCAAACCACAAGTATTCCTTCATGGTTTGCGTGGTGGTGGAACTAGCATCCCAACCGTGTTTCGTAAAGTGGATCTCACTGTTGATGTATCTGAACCACCAATAGTTTCAGAGTTCTTAGTACCAGTACCAAAGAAGAAATAGTATCATACCGAATTCCTAGTGATTTTTCATTCTTTATTTTATTATTTTGTTTTCAGAAAGGCAAAAACATTAATAACAATAAATTAAATAGGCTTGATAGGTGTTATTTTTTTTTTATTTTTTAAGAATCTCAATATAACACAAAGAATTCTGTATTTTTCTTTTTTGTTTAAAGAAAAGAGTCTGGTCCTTTATATATGGTGGAAATGAACCAGCATTTACTTTAAAAGTAATCTAATTCATTTATTCCTTAATTTTTATTTATGCCTATGTGTCTACAAAATGGGTGTCAACATTTTATTTTTAATTATTCTAATTATCAACGGTATCAACTAAATCATTCTTATTTTTAAGTATAATTAAATTATATATAATTAGAACTTGTATCTTAAACTGATAGGCAAATGTTTAACAGTCATTTTTAGTGGCTCAATTTATTTTTTACTGGTACAACAAAAATAAATAAACATGAAAATATCTGGTAATTATTTGATTCCTTTGACTTTTTTCAATAATTGTATTTTAAATATATAATTTAATAAAGACACTTAAATAAATGTTTGCAAAAGTTTTTAATATTTTTCTTCAACTCTGATATTAAATTTCTATGATCAAGTGTGCATGTATTTACAGATTTTTCTAAAATATCCACTATACAGAATTTTTATAAAAATCCACTATACGGTACAGAAATTTTATAAAAAAATGAGAATTCTAATTTCTATGCAACTTATTAGGTGATTTCATATATCATTAAAAAAAACTTGCATCTTATTTAGGATAAAGTGGTCCTAAGTAAACTTGTTTTAGTATTTTATTCATTTTTTAAGATGTACTTGATATCAAAGTCAAAGTCATGGTCAGTAAGTTGGCATGGTTTACATGAAAAATTATTTGTATTGGGTATGAGTGGGTAGGACTGGCTAATCTTGGATGGGAGCTCATCACAGAAAATGGGTGGCTGAGCGGTCTAAATTGAAATTTTATTTTAAAGTGATATCACCCTTTGTCACACATTTCATAGAATTATGAATATATTGTAAATTAAAGATAAATATGCTTTGCATACATTTTCAATCATTTTGCATTCATACTTTATATTTCACCCTTAAGTTTAAGAATTGACCTTTTTGGCAACATCCAAGAGACAAATTAATTTAAAATCACAAATCAAGGCAAAGAACTCTTTATGTTTAGTAATCACCATTATTTATTATACCAGTATACAAATATTTCATGTATACAATATTTATTGATATTCCCTGTAACAATTATAATTATTAACCCACTTGATGTTATTAGTACCGGTATTATTAAAATGTAATGAAAATATATTTCATAAGGATTTTGAAAAATTAAATGTAAAGTATTACACAAGAAACATTTATTAAAGTAAAATTTAAATACATACCAAATTTTTATATAGCAGCAACAATTGGAAACCAAGCAAAGAACTTAATCAATAATAAACTTTTCTGCTCATAAATTAAATTGTATCTTTCAAATTTTTAACCTGTTAAATTAAAACCCTGTTTAAATCCCAAATATTTAAGCAAGTTTAGGTTTAAGCAAATTAATAAAACATTTAAATATTGAACACTTAAAAATACAAAATAATCAAACTTATCAATTCAAAGATATTTGCTAATAATTTTCAAATTATGTTTGGCCCTAATAAACAATGCTTTAATGGCACAATACATTATATTTGAGGAGCCATATGTAAACATATCTCACTTTACTCTCAAAAGCCTCACAATATCTTGGAAAAGGAAACCTGTGTGGGAGGATCTGTGATTGACATATATATTTACAGATATCAACCATTTGCGTTCACCAGCTGCGTGGAGGGACCTGATAATTGGGAAACAGTTGATTCTTAATAAAAGCATCTATTCCAGACTTCATCGTTTTGCTAGAGACACTTTCAGAAAAATCACACCATCCTCACTTGGATGTATATATTTACATTCTAACCTCTGGGGTTTCAGGAAGTCACCCTAATCTGCCAGGCTAGTGTTTTTTTAGGATCAGTGGCTAACCGTTAAGATTGGTCCTTTTGGTAAGATTAAATGCCTTTATTTAATATTAAGGCAAACATGAGCAAAGCCAAAGTGACATTAACTTTTTCAATCAGGCATACAACTTTTATTTTGTGCTTATTATGCAAGGAACATAGTACAAATTGGTAATTAACAATTTAGCAAATATACATAAATACATACTTACATAAATACATGTGCATAGTCTAGTTTGAAATTATTTACACTAGGATCAGAAAGAACATTTTTAAAAGTGCGTATTGGTAAAATAAACAACTTTTAAGCTATTGAAAAAGGTGCTTTTATGTTTAAATCTAAAATAAAATTACTTTTGTGGAGTTGAAACACCCAATACGATTCAGTCTACAATGCAAATGACTATTTCTAAGGTCAAAATGGTTAGATATACGTTCAAAATTAAATTATTCATATAACTCAGTGGTTCTCAACATTCCTAATGCCGCGACCCTTTGATACATTTCCTCATGTTTTGGCATCCCCCCAGCCACAAAATTATTTTCGTTGCTACTTCATAACTGTGGAGCACATGTGTTTTCAGATGGTCTTAGGCGACCCCTAGGAAAGGGTCGTGCGATCCCCAAAGAGGTCGCGACCCACAGGTTGAGAACCGCTGATATAACTGAATAACTGCTACCTCTCCTGATAAGTTATTTTTCTCTTTTATCAGCAGGAATTACCTAGTAATGTCCTAGCTGGCCTAGCCCTTCATTGACAGCCATCTCTACAATCTTAGTGCACCACTAGACCACCAAAATAGTAACTATAGATAAAATATATAATCATCACATAACACATCATGAAAAATTGGTAATATCAAGGAAATCTTATGTGATTTATGAAGGGTTGAAAATATTAGAGCTTTTAACATAATTATATAACTGCACAACAATATTAGCATCAGAAAAATTTAGATTTAGGATTTCAATTTAATGGTTTAATTTACTTTCCTTTGATCTAAATTTACTTCTATATATTTTAATACCTTATTAGGAATGTCAGAAATGTATTATTTAGTTCACTCCACAACATTTGTTAATGTCAACAACTGGTTCAAGATTAAGGATGTCAACAAAGTTTCAACCATCTAGTAAACACAATCCACTGATCAAAAAGCTGAAAATTTTGTGGAGTCTGAAAACATTTTTTGAAACTAAATGATAGAATAATTGTGAAGATTTATTTATGCGTATAAATAAAGTGTAAGTTAGTAATTTCTCAACTGCAAACATTTCTTTTTTTTTACCTTAGTCACATTCCATTTTTTTAAGTTTGTAAGCATTGTTTCTATATTATTAAGAGCACTGATTACAGGAGTAATTTTCTTAGCAAAATGATCATATATCCCAATTAATTAAATTTCAACAAAAATTTAACTATACTGGTATACTAAAAAACTTTCAGCTATATTGTGTTTTAGATAAATTGAAAAATATATAAAATTTCAAAAGAAAAATATTTTCCCAGTAAGTTTCTTTTTTCTTTATTTTTTTATATTTTCATATTTCCTCTACACATGGTATTTTATGGCATCTTAATATTCTAAGGGTTTGTTATTTCCCATTAATGATAAGTAGCATATAGTAAAATTACATTAATTTAATCCATTATGATTGACCTCACATAAATGTGTTAAGCAAATGTACAGTGAAACAGCCTTTCTTTTTTAAAAAACATGTATTATTTTTTTTTTGTCTTAGGAAGCTATGATTATGATGTCAGAGGAGCTAAAAATATGCTGAGAAAAAAAGTTATTTCTTTTTGTGTGGTAATGTATGAACATAGATAAATCATGGCAAGTCGTTGAATATGTCAATAAAGCACCTTATATTTAAAAATCCTCTTAATGTTAAGAATGTCAATAACATTTTATTTAAATTTAGAAATTTACACAAATGATCATACAAATTTAAACAAAGATACTACTCTTTCCAGCAAAAGACAATTCAATTTCCTCCAATGACCTTCCTTTAGTCTCTGGAACATATTTGGCTACAAACCAAATACTCAAAACACAACAAGCACTAAACAGATAAAAAACACCAGCACTACCCAGTAAATCTTGCATATTTGAGAACTGGCTGGTCACAATAAATGCTGAGCCCCAGGATGCAATAATTGCAGCTGAACCTGCAACCCCCTTACAGCGAGAAGGAGTAATCTCTGACATGATTAGCATAGGTATGGGACCCCAACCCAGTGAGAAGCCAATAATATAGAGTGTTAGACAAAAAACAGGAAACCAGGTTTTCATAAATGCACTCAGCATCCCAGTAGCAGATAATTTATAATACAACCCAAAGCAAAATAATGTAACAGCCATAATGAGGCCCCCAATTTGCAGAAGTTTACGTCTCCCAGCTTTGTCCATAAGATAAACAGCTGCAAGGGTTCCCAATATTTGCACAATACCAATGATGACTGTGGCCTTGTATGCAAATTCTCCTACTGCAGACTCAAAGATCGAAACAGTGAAAAACATCACTGCATTGATTCCAGATAGCTGTTGAAAGATCATGATACACACACCTATGAACAATGGCAAGGAGAGTTCACGCTTCTTTAAAATTTCAAAGAAAGACACACGTTGTTCAGGATCAGATCCTGCTTCCATTTCACGGCACTCTTCCTGGACATTTGTATGAGCGTCTCTTAGTAACTGAAGAGAAATTATTGCATCCGCTTTTCGATTTTTCATAAGTAACCATCTAGGGGTTTCTGGAATCATAAAAGTAAGTATTCCTCCAAGAACAGATGGTACTATGCATAAATTTGCCAACCAGCGCCACTCAAAAAACATGCCAAGAATATAAGCTGCAGCAATACCAATAGTGATAAAGAGCTGAACACATGAGCCCAGTATGCCTCTCATTGAAGTAGTTGAAATTTCTGCAACATAAATAGGAACACAAACTGTCACCATGCCACTCCCAATCCCTGTCAGAAATCGTCCAAAATAGCATTGGTAACTCTCAGATGCAGAAGCTATTATAAAGAATCCAGCAGCAAATGGTATGGATAAAAATGTGAGAGAGAGCTTACGACCAATTTTTTCAATTAACCATCCTCCTAAGGGCCCTCCAAAAAGTGCTCCAATAGTAAGTAAAGAGCCAAACCAACTGCTTTCGTCTTTTTTTAATACTCCTCTTTTTATCATACTAGGGATTGAGGGAGAGCTGTAACCAATAGATATTCCAAAGTTAAAAGCGCCGACCAAAGCACACATGCAGATGAAAACTAGCTTTCTGTAAGAACCTTCATATTTCGAAAGGACAGCACGACCTGCAAGACCGACTGGTTGTTGTTCCGCCATTTTGAAGCTCCTACGTGGTTACTCCGCAATTTTTTTTTTTTTTTTTTTTTTTAAATCCCGATCCAACATGGCAACATAGTTCCCAGAAGTTTAACTTCATTCATGTACTGAGTTCTGGCTTATGCATAGTACAGTTATATTATCGGTAGTAATTATGTATTTTTATATAAACCCAGGCATATATTAGAAAGAAATAAAATAGAAATCTGATATATTATGCTTATGTCATTATTTTATATTTGGCGTTAGGTAAAATCGAAAACATTTGATGCCACAAATTTTGCCCCTCCCCCCCTCCCCAACAAAATTTTTATTTATTAAGTTTTTCAACACTTATTAATATGAAAATGTTATTTTATTATAAAGAGAACTTTTGACAAAAGTTTTGTAAAATTGAAGGGTATTACAGGCGCATTAAAAAAAAAGATTATTTAAAAGTAGACATGAGATAATACAATAGAAAATGGTTTTCTTTTCAGCAGAAGCGTCACTAGCATACAACTTGGTATCACTCAGTGTGGTCGCTTTAAAAGGCGTTGTTTTTTTCCTACACACGCTACTAGCACATGCCCTGAAGTGCCGATAGAAGCGATAGTCCACCCCTAGTTAAGAAACGCTGCTATAGAGAAATTTCTGACACAGCTGTCGGGTGCATTTATTACGATATCCATAGGTGGTGAATTTTTAAGGATTTGTAATGGGCAGTAGTGGAGAGAGGAATTTTTTTAAAAGGGGTGTGGGGTTGCAGAGGTTTCCGCCGCTATATTTGAGGGAGCGTCTAACATTTAGTGACGATTATGACAATGGGGGAGGTAGGGTAAAATTACTGCAATATTTTCGTGACGTCAATTATGGATGGCCGCTTAGTTGAAGGCGTATAGCCCATTAAATCGAAATTATATATATTTTAAAAAAAATTGAAGTAAAAACTACAGAATGGGGTCGTCCATTAATTACGTCAAAAATTTTTACGCAATTTTTGACCCCCCCCCTCCCGTCTGTCAACAACTGTCTAACTTTCGATGACCCACCTATTTAATTATGTCAACTTTTTATACAAAAAAAATCAATTATAATATAAATAAATGTATAAATACGTTTTACTTTGTGCTGATATATTTTTTAAGTCACACAAAATTTTAGGAAAACATCTTACTACATCTTAAGCTTGTTAATCAATAAGTTAAAAAGTTTATACACTTAAATTTTATAATGCAGAATCAATTAAAAGGTTGTTAAAGACTAAATATCATTTTTGTGGAAGTATAAATGTGATTATTGTCAGTATAGCTGACAATTATAGTATAGAAATTACATGGTCTGCATTATGTTCTTCACAAAATAGTTTGAAGAGACGCTAGCATATTTTGGCTTAGCTTTAATAGCAATTATACAATTTATAACTTAATTAAGTATTTCATTAAGAACTGGCGAAATATATTTTGCTACCGATTTTTTCCACATTGCACAAGAAGCGTTTCTGGAGTCTCATCCTTCATCAATTTTAAGCAGCCATTTTTCTTGCACAATATATTATATTTTCATATGTACTAATAATTAATGACATGTAAGTAATTTTTTAGCTTATTATATTTATCTTTGAAAGTAGTGAAGCTTTTTAATGATTTACGAGAGCCTAAGTTATCAATAACGTCTCACTGTCTCTCAAAGATTATTCATCCATCTGCACTGAGATTTCTTTTGTTGCCATCTTTTCAACAAGATGTATTTCAATATCTTCACTCATTTTTATCTATTCTTTGCTACTGAGTGACATAGCTTTCACGTTTTTTTTTTTTTGTCACCTCTTTCCAGAACTGTTCTAAGAAATGCTGATATTGATGTTTAATTAAATTATGTCCTTATAGACTATAACTATAGTATGATTTTTCCTAGATTCAGCAATGAGTAAAGAAATTTCATAGCTTGCCTCAAGAGTACAATTGACAGCTGAAGAATGAGCAGTTAAACGGTGACTTAAATGTTGTACTTTTTTCTGAAATTTTACTTGAAGTTGGAAAGTAATTTAAATCTGAATTAAAATTAGCACTATGTTTGGTCTCAAACCTCGTTTCATTTAGTAATTTAGACCTTTCTGCTGGACGAGCATTGTTGGCATAAAAGACAAAATGTGACCGTTCTTTTTGGGTGGCGGGTATAAATCCAAACAATGACGATTTAAAAAAAAAAAAAATTTTTTTTTTTTTGCTTCCACCACTCATTATACTGTGAGGGTCGTGGCATTAGGACGGTTGGGAACCATTGGTTTGGGTGATTGTTATGATTTCAATTTTAAGTTAGAATAAGGTCTAAGCAAAGGTCAAGGGCATAAAGTATCACGTGGTCGGCCATGTGATTATGTTTTGGAAGGAATATTCATGGCGTAACTTACGTAAAAGTCATTGTTGAAAGTATCACAAGCTAGTGCAACGAAAGATAAACCATCATGAAAAGAGTTTGCGAATTTCTCATTATTATTTGGATTTGTTTTGAGAAGAATGAAAGTGCTAGACACCGACCTAATCCTAATCCTATTCATGCGTCTTGTAACGTGGATTGGTGAGTCTCTTACACTCTTACTCTTACTCTTACACTATTTACTACTTACTACTTAGTTAACTTAGTCACTTAGTCATAGTACTTACTTAGTGTCTTCCTCTTAGTTAGTAGTCTTCTTAGTCATACTAATACTAATATATAAAGGCTATGAATTATAATTAAAATAACTAGAGTCTAATACTAATATAATAATTTAAATTAAATAATTACTAAAAATATTAAAATTTTTATATTATATAATAATATGACTATGAATTTGACTAATAAATTGATATCTTGCTGTCACTGTTTATAACTAACATAAATTGATAAATACATTTATATTTATATTGGCATTATATTGCAATGAAATGTTTTTTATAACTTTTTTTTTACTCTTCAGGAACTTTGGCTTAACATGTCCTGATACCAGCAACAAAATAATAAATCAGATTGATTTATGGAAAGGAGAAGATTGTGGAACTGGAGAAAAATGCAGATACACAGTAGGCTAAGTGACACATTTTTAAACATTAAAATATAAAATAAGCTCTTGTTATCATGCTGTGGTTATTAGAGGATATGGGTAAATTTACATTCAGCGCCCCACTCATTTCCCATGGCCATGGTGACCAATATGGTGACTGAAAAAAAAAGTAGTGCAAACACATAACTGCTAAAATGAGAGGGAAAGAGAATGTTCTTTTTTAGCTTCTTACCCAGAAAAACAACATTAGAACACAGCTTATTAAATTAAATTTCATGAAGTAATTTCATCTGGTACATTAATTTTGTGGCAAATGCAGCAACTTTATTATAGCCCTCTAAATTATACTAAATATGCAACAAAAAGTTTCAACTACCTGTTGTTGCCCCTTTCCTGGCATACTTTCAGCCGGTACATTAATTTCGTGGTGAACCTAGTAACTGTATTGAATCCCTCTAGACTCTAGATATGCAGCAGAAGTAAACAACCTGCAGTCGCTCCCTTCCCTCAACTAAAACATGTGTGCTACAGTTACTCACTGTGGTAAGAAAAGTGTAAAAATGAGAAAAACAATAAAAAATATTTTAAGATAATGAAAACCCAAATTATAGTTTCATAGAATACACTTAAACACACTTTATTGTAGTTTCCACCAAAAATAAAATCCAAAAGTTGTCAGAAAAATCAATAGTCAGTACAATACCCATTTTCCATAATGCTGGAAAATTTAGATATTATAACTAAACAAAACACTGAAATCAGTTGAAACCAAAGACAGTATTTGAATGTCCCCAAGAAACTTCACTTATGAAAATTTTTTCAACAAAATACTTTTGTGCTGTAAGGACTCTAATAATTTATTTTCTCAAAATAATTAAAAACTTTTTATATTGATATTTGAATCATCTGTATAAATCGATTCAATAAAAAAATTTGAATGTAAATAGTCTATATTTTCCCATTTTGGGGAGGGGGTGGGGTATCCTCAGTGTTAAGAAAATAAATATATAGAGTAGTAACTAGAAAAAGCTAACTCTGCATGACCACAGCCTAATTCTATTAAAAAAAATCAACCATGGACCTTTCTATCTTTAAATTTTGGCGTTAACAAATTAACAATCTACAGTAGGAATCCTTCTGACCTTCAGTATTACCTGCTTGTGTGGGAATTTGTTTCTCGTCAAACACTGATTATATAAACTTGTCTAGAAAACAAGAAATATCAAATAAACAAAACTACTTTTGCTTGGAGAATTATTTGAAGCAAAATGCATTTGTTAAACTAAAAAAATTTGGAGGAAAGATCCCACCTCTTCATCACATATTCATATACCTAAGATCAGCTCGATCAGGGTGAAATTTTACCCTTAAAGTTAGTACCAAAAGATATAAAAATTAATTTGTTCCTGTCAGAATTTAACAGATTGCTCCTCCGGCTGTTACAGAATCTAAATAATCACTCTTAAAGTCAGTATTGTCCCCTTTACTGTAAAAGACAGCTGATTTTTGTGTTTGAGAAACACTATAGATGTCTCATGTTTAAATTATACATTTATAAAAATGTTGTCTCGATAAGAATATTTATCTACGTGCTGAAAATTGATATGTACCATGTATCTAAAAGCATTGCAATTTATTGGGATCAATAAAATAATCTTATCATTAAATAAATAAATTGGGCATTCATATCATATGAGGGAATTGTAAAAACATCAACTATCTGTTTTATCTTTAGTTTATCAGCTTTGACAATGTGACGTTAAAAGCAACTCACACAACACCAGTGAAGAAATATGTGGATGATCTTACCTTTGTTTTCAAGCCTAATGGCAACACAGAATGTACTGTTAATGTAAGTTTCTTTTTTATTTTATATTATGATAACGCCTCCACTTAGTATTAGGGGTTGGTTCTTTGCTATTTATATTTTCTGAATGTGTGACTTAAAATCAAATGCTGAACTTCTTTTCAAGTTTTTATACAGAGCAATCATAAGTGTGCGCTATAAAAATTCTATCTCAAGGAAGGAATTAAAATGTTTAAGTGCCACAGTTTCATACCAGACTGGCCTTTTTACCCCCTGAGTAATCTTTGCAATGTATGCATTGGAGTTTGCTTTTGAATCATTCAAATCATTAAACTTAAAAGTTATAGATGTTGAAAATTAAATCTCTGGAAAGAATGTACATATTCTGAAAGTTGTGTCTTTTAGTCTGCCTAAATTCCCCTTATTTATGCTTAATATTTTATTTCCTATAAAAATAACAAATCTAAATCAAATTTCTCTCATCTATTGTTTAAGTGGAAAGGATGAGACCATATGCTGGGGTGCAGACAGCATGAATCCTTTTAAGTTTTCAAATAACTGTGTATGTTCGTACTATGCTGAGGCGATGGACTTTCCTTGTAGTTTTGGTTGGATAAAAAATTAATGTTTTTAGTGTACTTTATTAAATATTTAAAATTTTCTGCACCATGAATACATCAGTGTTGCGAAATTTGCATTGTTGCTCTTTTAGTATTTTAATATCCCTCATTAGTATTAGATTTGAAACAAAAGAGCATGGATAAGCTATTTTACCAGAAGATAATCGATCATAAAAGCTCTTGGTGGGATGTTCCTTCTTCCTTGTGTAAACTAATTGACCATCTTAACTTAATTATAACTTTTTTATATTAACTTAATTATAACTTTTTTTTAGATTTAGACAAAATAGAATATAGGTTACATACTTGACACTAAAATATTAAATGATGTTACATTGTTAATGACATGTCACTAATAAATAATATAATATTTAGAGACAAATTTTGGAATACTATTTGCAACTATTTCACTATTATCTGGGCAAAATCGTTTCAAAAATGGGATATTACGCCATGATGAATGGGAATCGTAACTTATGGATGGAAGAACCATATTTATATCTTTGTTTTATGACTTAGATAAGTGTTATTTTAAATGTTTTGTTTCAAGCAGAAAAGCATTAAATTAAAAGCCTACTAACCAAAAAAAAAAACAACAAAAGATTATAATTATTCCTACAAAACAGTCTGTGATATTTTACAGTGTTAAAATTATAAATATGCTATTTATAATTTCAAGATAATTATTGCAGAATTTTGTAAATAAATGTACATACTTTCTGCCAAACGCCCCCCCCCCCTCCAACACATAATCTCCAAAATCGACAGACCTCACCCCTGAGTGTTTATGTGCGATATTTATATGGATGGTCCCTATTTGAATCAAATTAAGTTACTTTTTTTTGAGAAAGTGAAATCTTGCTAATTTGCCATTTCTTTACTAATGAAATCGCAACAGGGTTTAAGCTACTCAGAAACTTGGTATGCTATACTAGACTATGGTACAAATTACTGCAATCTCCACAACCTTATCACTGGTAAGTTGATTTTTCAAATATTTAGTAGTGTTGTGCAAGAGAATTTCAATACAAATTGGTGCATTTTTCTTGGTTTTTTTTAGATCTATACCAAAATTTTGTTTCTTTTGGGTGCATTTTCTCTGCAAGTGACTTGATTAATTTTTAATTACTAATAGTATATACAAAAGGATGGTTTAAATTTGTGAGAGTCTTTTATGCTTCTTCAAAGCCATTTACCGTATATACTCGCATATAAGCCGAATTTAGAACTTAGAACTATAAAATACAATACTGAAATCAGGGGGTCGGCTTATATGCGCATAAAACAAAATGGACACAAGGACAGACACTAATGCCAATTTTCCAAACAAATTTTCTAAATATATACTTCGTTAATCATTAGTTGTGAACAACTTACGAGCGGAAGTTCAGATATTATTATAGCAAACAATGTGGAAAGAGCAGAACACGTTTTTGTGTCATTCCAAAAGGTAAACAAACTGGTATGTGACATAAAAGTAAGCATTTTACATCTTTACAGTAACAAATTTCTATGAACCAAAAATATGGAGTTAAATTAGACAATTGTATGGTCGGCTTATATGCAGGTTTTTGTAAAAACGGGCCATTTTAAAGCAGTTTTAGGAGGTCGGCTTATATGCGATGTAGGCTTATATGCGAGTATATACAGTAACAATTCCCATATGCATAGTAAACAATTTTATCCATAAAATACTTTGTTTTCAACAGGTTCTGGACTTAACCAAACAACAAATTACAGAGAGGATACCAACAATGGAAGATGTACCCAATACTCCTCGGCCGACTGTGATAAATATTAAATCTCATTGTAACAGGCTTTTCAAGGTGCTTGCAATTAAAATGTTTTTTAAATGAAAGACATTTTGTAGATCAATGCCACATTGTTAGTGCATTATGAATACTCTTTACTTCTTTGGAACCTCATTTTAATTTTGCAAATGTTTTATCTCTTATAATTATAATCTCATTTCTCAAGTTTTGTATTTGCTTTGTTATTTTATATCAATAAAAAAATGTTGGTATTCTGTCACATTTTGGTTGCTACATAAAGGGCGTATGTCAATGGAAAGATCAGCAGAGCATCATTAATAAGTATTCATATTAAACAGAGAACCTAAAGTCAAATATTATTTTGACAGTAAACCTGCAATAATCCATTGCAGACCAGCACAGCTCAAAATGTAAGGCGGGCTGTAATACTTTATGAAAAACTTGTGCGGGCCAAAAGAAAATAGATGAGGACTTGTGCGGACCAAAAAAAAAAAAAAAAAAAAGGAGGGGGGGGGGGGGGGGGGGGGGGGGGGTTTTGGAGAAAGCTATGAAAAAAAATAATAATAAAGAATATTTTATTTCGCAGGCCGCAAAGTGGGTGCTGGACTATTGTGTTAGGTATTATAGTTTTGAGGATGTTTAAGAAAGGTATGAAAAAGAAAACATTGCTCTTGAACAAAAAAATAATTGGGTACAGATAATTCTTAACCATAAAAAGTCAAGTTTCTCCACTTCTGTGCTCTGTTTAACACTAAATGGTAAAATTTGATCCTGGTATTAGTATTCGCATAATGCATTAAAAAATTTGTTTCTCATTAAGCAACTAACTAGAATCCTGGTTTGCAATCTCAAAAGGGGTCAAAGGATACTCATTGGAAGGTTTTTCTGTGGGATTTCTGGACACAACTACAATAAAATTAATTTCATTAAACTATTTCGAGTTTGGATTAATTTCATATTACTATTTGTATAGCGGCTGCAGATTTTTTAAAACTTAAACCATTAAAATAAAAATAATTTATTGGCGTCAGCAGTCATTTTGCCGCTATGAAATGGGATCTTAACTAAAAAATAGACTGGAACCTGTGGATGAGAATGTGTTTCCTAACATTGATAAGTTCCTCAGGAATGTTCGAAAAGTTATATTTACAGGCCTAATCGTTCTTAATTTTTGTTGTTGTCTATTTTAAATACTAATGCTGTGTTATTCAACATTTTTGTTGGAATGGAACCCTTTGAACCCTTAGATTGCTCGCAAAACCCCATGCATTGAGATAAGGGCTTGTTCTAAGTCAATGCCATGCAGTGACACAAGGGTTTGACATATGTCAAACCCAAGCAGTGACACGAGGGTTTGTTCTATGTCGACCACATGCAGTGACAAGGGTTTGTTCTGTCAGTCCCATGCAGTGACACAAGGGTTTGTTCTATTCCAAATAGATTTCCTTCTCAAGTGAATCCCATAGTTAAAGTTATGTCACTGAAATGACGAACTTTAATATTCCGATCGACCACATCAATTTTTGGCACACACGACTATCATGATGAGGTACTAGCAGTAGCTTTAGTTGACTGCCATTGAGTCTAAATTTTTCTTCTTAAGATTAATAAATCGATCTATTAGTAGCGCAAAAAACATTGTTTTGAAAATTAATTCAAACACTAAATGAAAATGCTTGTTAAAACGACAACGGAAACAGTTGACTGCTACTGAGTTTTAGTTCGGTCACCATCTGTGGCATCTACAAATTTTTCTTCTTAATCGATCCATTAGTAGCGCAAAAAACAATTGTGTTTTGAAAATTAATTCAAAGACTAAATGCTTGTTAAAACCACAACGGAAACAGTAATTAAGTGGATAAAAAACTACGAACTACAACACATTTAACCCCAGGCTGGCGCTCACAGTTCAAAAATGCTGCTCTAAATTTACAGTACATAAAAATTCACTTAGTATTTTGCGCCATGGTTTCAAGCCATTACTTGTAACTTGAGATTAAATTTAAATAAATAGTGAACAAATACAAGGGATAAAGTAACCTTCAGAACAACAGTAGATTTATTGGATATGTTTTGAATAAACTTTAGATTTTCTATACACCATGAACACAAACTATTTAGTGCACGATTAATGATAGGCAATTTTAAATATTGTTTAACAACCTTTTTAAAATGCACCAAAGTTAGCATTTAAAAGTGTAGGCTCCATAAAATATTTATATTCCCCAAAAAATGTAGAAATATTTATCACAAGTACAAGTTTTTTTTGTCAAGAATGTAATTTTATAATGGTTATATCTTCTAAAGACTACTAATATGACATTTTCTAAGTAGAGTACAAGTTAAGTATACATAAAACTTACAAGGTCTTAATATAGCACAATAACATTTTGACTTATCCAGAATCTTAATAAAAATTAAAGGTAACCCACTATTTTCTATTTCTAATTATTAATGATGGTGCTAAAAATTGTCACAAATTTAAATTGCAATGCATTTTGAACAATAAGTATGATAATTTTGTTTAAATGATACAAAAGCATAACCCATTTTGTTTTATGCAACACACCTTTCTTCAAAGACAGATTTGTCTCTTTTAAGAATATATTTCAGATTTAAAACCAAAGAATATATAAATTATATAAATTCTGTCACTCTTCAAAAGTATGCAGTTCACCCATAAATGCCTAATAAATGATACAATTTTAGCAAATGCAAACTCATAGTTTAAATAAAAGCAGAGAGCACAATAAATTACAGCAAAGCACCACAACATTTCTACTACCTATTTACATTAATTTTTTTTTTTAAAGTGCCTGAAAGATGACCTTAAAACATAGACAACACTATGTAAAATAATTTTTAAAATGTAAATGCAATTTTCAGATTAAACCCAACATTTTTTTCAAATCAAATAAATGCCAAATTTTTTCTTTAATTAATATTCTCATTAAACATGATTTTACAAAAAAATTGAAATTCCTTAAGTTAACCACTTTATAATTTTGAATGAACATCCTAAAAAATTAAACACCAACAGATACAATAAGGTGGTGAATTCGTTAAATATTTAATGATCCACTGCATTTAAATGGTCCAATAAAAAAATATTTCGTCTTCCATTACCAGTTGTGAGTCAATCAGGAAAGAATATTTTTAAAAATCATCTTCCCAGTGCCACAATTAACCATTAAGTTTAAGGACGGAAGTTCATGTATTCAAATGTGACTAAACTTCTTGTTATAATGGAACAAAACAAAACTATGTGCTACATTTACACAAGAATTTCTTACAGAAACCCAATACCTTGTCCATATAGTGATAAAAATAAAACAAAAGGATACAGTCCTGCTCTATGCCAGATAATAATTTTCTAAATATGCTGAAAAGTATAACTGAAAATTACATGACAAAATGTGTCCAGTCATATCAGTTACTCCCAACAGAGATGAAAGAAGCTTTTCAAATCACCTCTTAAAATAGAGATGAAACTTTATGCTTGCTAGTATGCTATGCTAGGAATGAAATGAAATAAACATCATTAAAATAAAGTTTCTTAATAAAAAGTCATCAGCATCTTTTGAAAGCCTTGCAACCAGTATGAGTATTAATTATATTTTATAGAATCCAAGTTTTGTTGCCTCAACCCTCAAGCCACTATATTTTCTTAATTTCTTACAGGATTATTCTTAACCATATTTTAAAAAAAAGAGAAACCAAGTATCGTACATAAATATATACATTTAGGTTAAATACTTTTCAGATTATTTTTTAACATGAACAATTTTTTGTTGTAAAAAATCACTACTCAGTAGTCACTTATAAATTAAGTTCCTAATTCACCTTTTGTCCTTATAACATGCAAAAAGCTCTGGCTTGTTCGATAAGTCACAACAGCATTAAAATGGCTTGAATCAATTGAAGACTAAACTTAATTAATAAATTTCACTCAAACACCAAAATAATATGATATTACACATTAATTTAATTAAGCTGTTAATTTAATTGCTAGTTCTTTTAAAACATCTTTCTTCAAATTATAAATAAATTTGGAAAACTATGGGGGCTGCCAGTGGAAGCGCCTCCTGTTTTTCAGTTTGGGTTGGTTCCAAAATCATGCTTGTTGTTTATGAACTTGATTCCAGTAAATTAAGTAGGGCCAATTAAGACAAGCCCAATAATATAAGTTTTAAACAAATCTTTTAATCTGAATAATTTTGTTCCTTTCATTTCACAGCATCATCATCCAATCCTTGTTTACTTAGCTGAACCATGACAACCATGATATGAAACAGATATGATATGAATCAACCCATTTGCTCTTTTCTCTCTAAAAATAGTTTTTTTCCTATGTGGAAGTAACCCACAGACATTGTACAAATTCACTATTGTTATTATTGTTATTTAATTCCATTTTGATAACACATTGGTAACATTACGATTATTAAACAGATGCGAAATGGCACTTAAAATACAAACAATTTATAACTGTTAGGTTTTAATTTCAAAACAACTGTTCATTTATGGATTGTATAAGATGTAAAGCATTTAAAATTGATATTAAATACTTTTTACCATGCACTACAGTAGAAAACAACTTTGTACTATACAGCTAACAAATGAAAATTCTATGTCCCATTTAGAGGTGCAAATGACAAACTCCCCAAAAAAGTAACATTTCTATGAAGAAAAAAAAAAAGTTACAATTTCAGGAGGATATAGCTATTAATATCAAGTGGCTATAGCTATTTATTTTCTTCATAATTGGATTCAAGGACTTCCTTTCTTTGTGAAACAAACCCTGTTTTCAAAACATTTTAATATTTACAAAACAGCACTTATCACAAATATTAAATCGTACAATGTTATTGCCATGCTATTATGGTTAGAGCATTTTTGTGACAGCACTATAATAATTTTAATTTTAAGTAGGAACCCATCAAATCTGTTTTCCAAAAAGGACAATTCAAATCTAAATGATTTTTGTTTCTAAATGTATCATGTTTAAATATCATTTGTACTTAATCTTGTTAATTATTATGTCAACATCTTATATTAATAATATTTTTAAAAATATTGTTCAGTTTTATTAATTTGATTAAAAAATATGCAATGGTTAGTTTTCTTGAAGTAGAAAGAAAACAAGAGCACAAAATATGAAGCTTGCAATAAAAAATGTCAATCACAATATAACCAACAACTCACTCTTCCAAAACATTTTTAAGGAAGCAAGAAACGTCAGCATTATTAGACAATGTAATTACCATTGATAGGAATGATTCAAGTGCGTTATAACTTTTAAATAAGTGTATTTAACAATATCTGTTTCATTGAAAAAAAGTATTCGTTCACTATCCAATTTATTTATTGAAATTTTTAAAATTAATATTTCTAAGAAAAATACATTAACAAGATCTAATACAGAATACCGAATGTGTATAAAGAAAATGTTTTCTTCCACAGTTATGTGGCAGAGTAAGGCAGTTTTCTTACTAAGCATTGCAGAAACTGAATTAAAGGAGCAGATAACATTTTCAGCTGATAAGAAAGACAGTTTGTCATGGCTGATTTGGCAGGAGCCAATAAAACTAAGTTTAAAAAAAAGTCTTTTATTAGTATTATTTTAAATTATAAAGAACAGTTTTTAAAAAATAATGTTATATATTCTGGTACTGTAAGGTATAAAGTTTTCCTTAAAATTTTAACTCCTCCTCATTAAGTCCATTTTTGGTTATACAGTTTTATTATTTCAAAAATTATATTAAAAAGCAAAAAAAGAAATATTTTGGACATGGCTTCCAGCTTTTGCACTATTAGGATAAGGCAAAAAGAACTTAAAAATGTTGCAATAACTTCCTATTGAGCCAGTGAAAATGAATGATGGTTCAATTATAGCTGCAGTTGATTTTTATGTAAAGTAGCTACAAACAGTGGTCCCTGCTAAAGGTAAGAGATGTAAAATCAGAGTTTCAAGAAACTCACTTATGCCCATTTAAAGGCCCTAAAACTGAAGATTAAATATTAAAAAAATAGTGACTACAATAAACCACCAAGGATCTGATTTTAAAAAATTGGACTTCTACCACCAACAATGAAAAAGTCAGCAGAAATCAGAAACTCTTAATGTCAATCACCATTTCTCTTACTCCATATTGTTTTCTTGATGCAGCAGTTGTGAAAATTATTTCATAAATGTAAGTTGTGAGGATTTAACTTGCAGACAGCAAAAAGGTGACAACTTCAAGTGCTATAAGTTTTCCAATTTATTTCATGCATGTGATTATTTTGATATTGTTATGTGTAATAAGAAAAAAATTCATGTGCATGCAAAAGGGATAGCAAGTGCACAAAATATAAATTTAGCTGAAAGATGATAGTGTCAAGTAAAATAGTAATTAGTTTTTTTTTAAATGATACTGCTATGAACATTAAAACTTGAAATCCCTTATTTGCATACCTTGTGCATTACTTGATATTTAAATAACTGCTGTTTTTATTTGATATAATGACCTTGACATATCTAATTTGTATCCACAACACACTTTCAAAATCATTCTGTATTCTCAGGCTGGTCAAAAAATTATTTTTTTTGTTGAAAGTTTAACAATTAATTAATGTTTTTTTCACTGTAAATTTTTACCAATTTTTTAGTTAAGAAATTTAAAAATCTTCAACTTTCAGTGTGCCTGTGTAAAGATGTTCCAAAATTATAACACCACATACAATGTAGACTTTCCTAGCTTAGATGACATTAAAAAATCCAAAATATGAATATGACAAGAATATCCTCTGCACTTCTATGCAATATGTATATCATTACGGTTCACAACTCATAGTAAAAGGAAACAGAATCACACATATTTTTAAAAATATATTCATGGTGTCAAAGATTATAATTCTATATATCAGATAGACATTTCTCATAAATGTAGGTTTCAAGAGACCTCCAAAATAAAAAAAAAAATTAACAGCTTAATTTAACTCACTCCCATCAGTTGGAACTAAATGCATCTTTCTGGGGTGCCACCCTATGTGACAGAAAGTGTCTTTAAAAAAACTTTCTTTATAGGAGTAAAATCATGCATCCCAGAGACTTACATTTCTGTTGGTGTTTATCTGGTTTTTATCATTTTGTTTTTATCTATATCTGTGGTGTGCAGCTTGTTTTGTATCTCACATTTTTACAATGTGCAAAATTTGAGTGTTTTATAATTGCTATTCCATTAATATTATATATTTCTTAAACTCCATCCACTTCTGGATGAATTTTTATTCATATTAAGGAACATGGATAGCCAGATGTCAGGAATGAGTTAAAGAATAGTTAATTCATATAATATAAATTTCATTCTAATAATACTTGTCAATCCAGACTTATACAATCAACATTTAAGGCTCAAACCTTATGAGAAGAAAGATTTCTCAAATTGAATTCTTACACCTCTTATCAGTGAGGTTCTCTCATTCCTACTACTTGTGCATATGAAGGTGGAGGTGCTGCCACTTTGATGTTTCCAGCAGATACCTGATTATAGGGAGGAGGAGTACCTAAAGGTGGAGTATACATTTGGTTGCTGCTGCGTGGATACCGACCTGTGAAATCAGGTCGAGAACTCTGAAATTAAAATATTAAATTATATATTTTATTTTTTTCAGTGATATGCTTACAAACCATACATTAAAAATCTGAAATACAACAAAATTCAAGATAAATTATCAGTTTAGAAAATAAAAAAAGTACTAACCCCAGAATCAACTTCCTGCAAGGGTGTATAGCTATAGCCACTAATTATAATAGTTCCATTGGACAAAAATCTGTTTCTCCACAGGCAGGCACATAATGATAAGAGGAACATGAAGAAAAGTACTCCACACCTGAAATATGCAAAGAGAAAAATATATTGTACCGGTACTCAAATAAATTTGCTAAAAGTTATTTTTCTTAAAGTTAAAGGACATTCTATCTTTTCTTCCTTCATTCATCATCAGTCAAATATATCCCAATTAAAGAAAGTTTAAAAATATATATAGAAAGGAGATACATTAATGTCTAGTTCTAGAAACATCAAACTTTTTTTGTGGGGTAAATGGATGGGAGTTAGTAGGCTACTGTGGCGTTGGAGTGGGGAGGGGGTGTTGGGAGGGGGTGTTGGGTGGGGGGTAGGGATGTGGACATTTCAGGGTCAAAATAAAAAATTTCCAGGACAATTTAATTTATTTCTAATCACAAACCCCCAAATTATAATACAGGTAAAGAACTGCTAGTTTGTCAAAAATCTGAATAGAGATTTGATGGTGTAAAATATAAATTAGTAATTTTACTTTTAGGAGATAGTAAGAATACTGAAAATTTCTATTTACCAAAAATACCACAGGTCCCAAACTTTGTAAGAAGGACAACATGTGTTTTCACCACAGCAGTATTCTTCTTCTGTGCACCTATAGATTAAAAAAGATAATGTTAGCAATAATATACCCACATATTATGGTTAAGCTTAAACTAAGAAATCTCTATAAAAATGCTCCAATTCCAGAAGATATCCTTTTTAAACATTTTTGTTAGAAATAACATAATGGTTCCTGGAAATATTTACAAAAACAGATACAAAGCACACACAAAATTCCATAATTATAAAATTATATTAATTTTATTTATTTCAATCTAAATTTATCTGTCTTTAGTCCATTACTGCTATAAAATGGATCATAGGGAGAAAATTGTCTTTCAACTTTCCATATATATGAGAATGAGCTATGCTGACCGTAACCCAAAAGAAGCGAATCGATTTAAATACGTTTCGATTCTTAAAAATAATCATAGTTATTCTCTATTATTTTATGGAAATCGAATAACTTTAAATTCGCAAAAAAATATTATAGATCCGCTTTTAATTTAGTACAATTTTAAATATTATTAATATAAATTACAAATACATTTAAAGTAACAACTAAGGAACTATTTTAAGCACTTTATCCAAATTTAAAAGTTATGCAAAAAAAAGAAATAAAAAAATTACTATCTAAAAATTGCATAACAATCACATTTTTCGGGAAAATCGAAAAATCTGTTTTGTTTGGTGCCTTTTTAGTGTGTTGCTAATATTGCGAAATAAAATTAAAATTAATTTTTTCTAAATAAACACGTAAATGATATCATATCACGAATCGACTATCTAGACAAAGTTCCAAGCTTCTTTGATTTAATAACACTTAAAAGTAAAATTAATAAATATAACTGATTGCTTTTTAAATCTATATGTATAAAAGTGAATGTCTGTATGTATGTATGTATGTCCTGTATGCACTCATACCATTGATGCGATTGCCATAAAACTTTGGTGAGTTGCTGTCCACAACCCCGCGAATTTTCCTGAGTCATTACAATTCTTTACAAATATTCCATTTTGGGCCGTTGGCCTTAAATTTGTTTTTTTTTAATTATATGAGCTATGTAAATATAATTTCCATATGCGCTCTATTTATTTTTGTACGCGTCATACAGAAAAACAAAAAAATATTGTAGATATAGAAAGTACTTCAAAAAACATTATTAAAACACAAACGCTTTCTTTCTCACAATGCAACACATGCCGGGTTCTCGCTAGTTAATGAAGAATAGCATAGTAGACAGTCACTTTCATGCCCCTGTGTTTCATAAAAACTAGGGCAAGGACTTGGGATCTAGACCTAGTTGTTTCTTTATTTGCCAAAGCACACATTCCATCATTAGCATTAGTTGAACTTTCTATCTATCAATGTGAACTTGCTTTCATTATAATCTTTATTCAAAACTCTTTAATAAGAATTATTTACATTATTATCAACCTGATCTGGGTTAAGATCTTTAGAATAGCAATTTTTGCATTTTCACCCCCCCCCCCCTCCCCCACTTACATATAAAAAAAATTACTAAAACAATGCATCTATGGGAGTAGCCATTATTGTGACTTTTTGCAAGTTATAATTTATTCAAAACTCTTTAATAAGAATTATTTACTTTTTTATCAACCTGATCTGGGTTAAGATCTTTAAAATAGCAATTTTTGCATTTTCACCCCCCCCCCCCCTCCCCCACTTACATATAAAAAAAATTACTAAAACAATGCATCTATGGGAGTAGCCATTATTGTGACTTTTTGCAAGTTATATGGTAAATTCTGACCTCAGTATTTAAAGCACATTTTTATATATTGACTGTGGATGTAGGCTATGGCATATCAGTCTGGCAGGGTATGGATTTTTAGAACATAACTGATAAATCGGGTTCAAGTTTCTATTATCTCAAAGAAAAATACTTACTTATCATTATCACAGTAATATGAACAGACCTGAAGAAATATCAAAAGGAAACATGGTTAATAATTAATCATAAATTTATTTTTTTTAAAACCATTTTAATTTTTTGCTACAAGGCAAGAACTTACATTTAAAAATTTTTTGTTATTTTTCAAACTTTAGGCCGTACTGTAATTGCTACAATCAGAATTCCTTGGCATGTTTATATACTGCTAATCTTGTACTTCAGTGTCAATTATTGAAAAATCGTGTTGTTCCATGTTGAATTACATTTAAATTGTAATTTTTTTTATTGAGATCTATTAACGGGACAGAGGAGAGGTCTACTGGGTATTCGATAGGATAGAAAGAGAGAGTGAGTGCTGTTGTCTCATTGAAGTGCCAGACAGAGGCGTAGTGAGGGAGGAGCGGGGGGACAGATGTCCCGGGCGCCAGCTAGTTAGGGGCGTCAAAATGGGCTTTGATATTATTTTATTTATGAAAATAATGGGTTTGAGAGTTTAAAAAAGAAAAAGGGGCGCTTTAAATGGATCTTGTCCCGGGGCTCGAATCTTGTCCCTGGGCGCCAAACACCCTCGCTACGCCTCTGGCGCCAGACAGACGTGCGATAACTTTACAGGAGCCCATTGTGAGATATATCCTTCCAGGCTCACTTATTGTATTAGTATTGGATAGATGGGCTTATGCAAACATACCAGATCTGACACAGAAGCTACAAACACTCCGTTGTGGTCCATCAACAAAATTTTGCCCATCCAAATGACGCTGGTGTCGCCACACAGAATGTTAAAAAAATGTGGGACAAAGTACGCTTGACGAGATGAGTGAGTTCTCTTATGTTTATTCTTGGATTTTCTTTTTTTAATATTAATAAGCCAATATGATGTTGCAAATTAATATTTCATTGGATGGTTAATTATAATATTTAAAATGAGAATTAAAACAAGGCTAAATTTTGAAGCACACTTTTTAGTTGAGAGAAGGGAGCTTCCGCAGGTTGTTGACACTCCTTGACGCATATCTAGATTTAGAGTCTAGAGGGATACAATAAAGTTGCTACCCTCACCACGAAATAGAAGAAACTACAATAACGTTTGTAAAAGTGTTTACTATGAACTTTAAGTTGGATTTTAATTATTTTATGTGTTTTAGGGAAGGGTGGGACAGCAGGTCATTGACACTTCTTGCCAAATAGGCCTATCTAGAGGCAGAGGAATACAATTAAGTTTCTACTTCACTGTTCACCACAAAATAAATGTACTGGCTGAAATTTAGCCAGGAATTTCCCCTCCCCATGACAGTATGGCACAAGCCACGATCTTTTCCCTTCATGTAAGCACAAGTTCATGTCAAGAAATCCTTCTCCTGGAGATGATGTAAACTGTAAACTTGGACTTGGACATAAATTTAACTATTTGTTGTCTTTTCAGTAAATTGTTTAAGTCAAGTATAATTTAATAAATTAACATTTCATTAGGGTAAATTTATTCAGAAATCGTAGCTAACAATACTTATGGCTTATGGTGACTGTTGTATTATTAATGTATATTGTACGGTTTAGTGTATTGTACGTGTAAGGAAGTGTCAGTGTGTTGGTGTTTAGATTAGTAAAAAGTGAGTGATGTGACAAAGAAATCTTGCTACTTAGACCAAATAAGAACTAAGACTAAGTCAAAATGCAAAAGAATGAAGTTAACACAGTAATATGACAGACTAATAGATTTAAATTAAATAAATGTACTTAAGTGAATATCTTCCTCCCGCATAATTACTTACAAAATCAAAACCAATCATAAACAAAATCACTGAAAATTGAGTTTTCACTCGGTCTGTTTGGGTCGCCATTTCGATAACCCTTGACCTATCAGCTGGGCCGACAGTGCTGTCACCTTTTGCGGAGTTATGTTCCTTGGATAACAATAGAAGAGAGGCGGGTGTTGTTTTGTCTGCGTGTGGGTGTGAGTACAGTGTTCTTTCAGGAATTTCTCTGAGGCCGCAGCAAGTCCCTTTTTTATAACATTTTAAAAAAGAATTGTACTAACAGCGTCGTTAACTTAAATCGATTACAATTATTGAAAACAGCGCTTGACTTTTCGAGACCCCCTGCCACTTTTCAGTTTGTCCTCCCCCACCTTGCATTCAAAGTTTATACTTGGAAATGTATCCACATCACAACTTTTAGCCCCGAAAATATCCGAGACCCCCCCTGAAGCTGTAGGGGTTGCTGGGACCACACGATTGCTTCAAGTCTAAGGTTAAGTGACACTTAAATTTTTAATTAGCATCTCTTCCGTTGCTCTCCAATAAGGTGTAGAAAGTTGCAAAAACTAAATTCAGCTAAAAGCCTTCTTGCATTTTGACTTTATCAAAAATGTTCTGGGAACTATAAAGATTTAATGAGTTTCGAGAAAAAACCAGGACATGAGCACACCCTCAAGGTGGACACAACTGGAATGAATTTAGGTCAAATAGAGATCTCCTCGATCATTATTATTGTAATACCTAATTTTTGCTCTTTTCTCCCGAAAGTTTGAAGTGCTCCCTCATATTGGAAGAAACACCGAATTCAAGTATGCGCTATTATGCATCGCTGTATAGACCTAATTGAATTTGACATCCTCAATTTCTGCACTCTTCCCCTCAAGCTGACCCATGTTACAGTATGGGGTTGACTAGAGGCTTGTGCCCAATGATAACCCTGCGGCACGCTACAACCGGACTGAGCTCAGTTTATGTATGGCACTGGGTGCCATAATGCCTCCCCCAGACGCTTAGGGACAAAATTTCTTTGTTACGCCCCCCCCCCCCC